TCAATAGGACAATGATTGAAATTTCTTTTGAGAGCCAAATTTTTTAAACTTAAACTATATAGGTAGGTACATTGTTATTAACTTAATTAGGGTACTCCTAAGGCTTAGGAAGAGCCACCCTTAAGGGGCCAAAGAGCCGCATGTGGCTCGCAAGCCACAGTTTGCCGACCATGGAGCTAGCGGAACAACTGCTAGATTAATTTAAGGATTTTATGCACCTTATAAAACTTACAACAAAAGTAGTTTCCCTTGATTTCCTTATAAGTAGCGTTTTCAAGGACCTGGGCAACACTGTGACTTCCTGAGCACAGTGGGTGAGAGCAGTCCACGTACGAACACCCAATCTGTCCGCCTCAGGCACGTACTGGGTGGAAGGTATATGGAGAGAGGTCATTAGGCGTCTACAGCCGCCGGCTCTCCACCTCCAAGGGAGCTGCCGTGGTCTGCATGTGTGTGCGGGGCAGGCAGGCTCCTTTCAGAGCTGGTGTGGCAGGCGTGGGTGTTGGCTGCTGCCTAGTGCCAGATGCCTCATGCCGGGCCAGGCTGGTCTGAGATGCGGCTGTAGTGACACGGGCGCTCCGCTGAGGCAGTTAACACGGCGCCGGGTGCTGCAGGTTGCATCCAGGATGGACTTGCACCTGGTAGGCAGGTACAGGAGACACAGTTGGTAGGGTGTAGTGGAAATTTGAGTGATCGTTTGGTTTGTAGCGATACTGTGTGTTGAAGGGTAAAATCTGTTCTTGTCCGTTTCTTTGTCTTTCTCTCTCTTTCTGCCTCCTCTTCCTCTGCACCCCTCTTCCCCCAGACCAAATCCCCTGAGAATTTAACTGAGGACCATTCTCCACGTGGACCCCACAATTCTGATGCTCGCCTTCCGGGGTCACCTGCTCATGATCCTGCCTCTGGTGTGCAGCCCCAGGGGCCTGTCTGCTGCCCGCTGTACTGTTCTCTGTCTCAGGTCACCCTGCCCAATTGCTCAAGCCAGAAGCAAGGGTGCCGGCCTTGCCCTTCCTCTCATCCTGCACCAGCTGCCACAGGGTCTGCAAGCCAGCGGCTCCCTTTTCCTTCTTCTTTGTCTCTCTTACAATACAGCGTAGTTCTGTTTTTCTGGACTACCGTGCAGGGAGGCGCGAGGGGTTGAAGTGTCTCCAGAGGGAGACGCTGGGCAGGTGGGCCAGGCGTGGGTGCCTTGTGTCCTGCTGGGTCTCAGAGAAGTGAGGCGCTGCTGCAGCCTGACGGGGCCTGGAGAGTCACCGGGGATGTGGTCACAGCCTGTGCAGGCGGTGACTGCCCACAAGGAGAGGAGGCGTTCGAGAAGGTCTCAGCCAAGCTAGCAAATGCGGGAAAGGAAAGCAGGCCGTGTGTGTGTGTGTGTGTGTGTTTCAGGCTTTTTCACTGCGGCCCACAGTATAAAATAAATGTAGCCCCCACGCCAGGACCCGCCTTTGTGTACCTGCGTCTTTAATGATAAAGGCACACAGGTGGTGCTTATGAGGCAGGCCCTGTTCTGAGTGTCTACTGTATTTATTTCCTCATTAGTCCTCTCAACCCCAGAAGGTGCTATCATTTCTCTGCTTTTCGCCCAGGGAGTGGAGTGCCGTTCCTGAGGCCTCACAGCAAACAAGTGGTGAGCTGGGTTTGAACCCGCGCCCGGCTCTAGTGCCTGCACTTTATTTCCCACCACTCTCCTCTCACAGAAAAAGCAAACGTGTCGCAAAATGACACTAGCCCTCATCACATGCTTTTTTCTTTTTTTTTCTGATGCTTGCTATTTTATTCTATTTCGTCCCCAAACTGCTGGCCAGACCCGCTGCATATATTGATTTCCTGACCTGTTAGGTCCCCAACTGCTTTTTGAAAAATACTGCCACGTCCTACTTCCAAAGTACCTCTTACCTCCCACCTCCACCCCAGCGGCCACTCCCCCAGATTAGGTTCCCCGTTACTTCTTACCTGGATGACCTCAATGGCCTCCTAACTCTTCCCTCCATCCGTTCTTCATGCGGAGCCAGAATAACTTGGGAACTGCGTTTCTGACCGTATCCTTCCCCTGGTTTAAAATCCTCGGCGCCATGTTGCTCTTCGGGGCCTCACACTTGCTCCATGGAGATGACAGTCAGTGTATGCGTGAATACGTCATTCTCAAGATTTCTGTGTGTTTTTTTCTCAGGATCTAGATCTTCTCCCAGATAAATATTTTGAAGTCGACTTCCCACTCATAGTCACGAGAAAGGTGCACAGTATCAGGTAAGTGTGGTTTTCGCCTGAAGAGAGAATTCAGAGCCAGCCCCAGTGGGTGACGTGTGGGTTGCCAGGACCTCGTTTTGTGCACGGCTTTCCTTTGCCCACCTCCCACCTCCATTCTTGCCCTGGGACCCTCCTTCCAGCATGCCGTGCAGTCTTCGAAATGCAACACACCCTCGCCTGGGACACTGCCCACTGATGCAGCTCTCGAGGGAGAGTAGTGTGATTTTTCATGTGCATTTTGTTTGCTTCTTTATTCCCAGGGCATAGAGAAGTTCTGGTTCAGAGTAGACGTGCAGTAAATATTTTTTGAATGAATGAATGGAGACCGAAGTTAACCTGTGATTATATATGTGCTATTGTGGGGCCATTCCAGGTTTCAGAGAGTTTGCTGATCTTGGCTGAGAGCTTGTCGTTGCCTGGCACCAACTTGGGTTGTCTCATCCAGTCCTCAGAGCAGACTCATGAGTTAAGTGCTGTTAGCCCCTTTTACAGATGGGAAAACTGAGGCTCAAAGAAATTTGGTTAATTTGCCCAAGACCACCCAGCTAGCAAGGGGTCGAGCTAAGATTTAAACCTTGACTTCAAGCCCAAGGTCAGGGTTTCTTAATAGTGTTAACACAGGCTTCCTCCCTCCTGTTTAAATCAGCCACTGAAACAAAATCCTGATTCTTATATTTACAAAATTTAATAAGCATGAAAGCTTAAGCTTGTCCTTTAGAAATGCCTAATCCTCACAAACTGGAAATACTTTTCAAACTTTGGTTTTTCTACTTTAGCCAATGAAAATAAGATTTTTACCCTTCCCAAATAGAAAAGAATACTTTACATGTAATGTGCTTTTCGGACTGTGGCAATTCTGATGCTCTGAGGAGTGCAGAGGACGACGAAGCTTGTTCGAGCTCTGAGTAGGAGTGAGGAGGCTCGATGCGGGCCAGCGGCGCTCTCCGAGCGGAAAGGCATGCGTCTGTGGTGCTGCCTGGGATACCGGCAGTTTGGCGCTCTGATTTTTTTCATAGTCTTGACTGGGGGCGTTATCACATAAATGTTCCTGAACTTTAGGTCTGAGTACGTGAATTATTGGAGTTACCTGTGAGAAACAGTGGGTGTCTGCAGGGTTCTGTTTGAGAAGAGGCGGACAGCTGGCGATGGCGAGACCCGCACTGCGACGCCGGGGAGTTGCTGCAGCCTGTCTTGCTCAGTTTGTGGTTGGCCTTGGATCTGAGTGTGATGCTCAGCTGACCTAACCGAGACGCGTTTCCCTGGAGTTCCCCTAGGGCAGTGGTCGGCAAACTCATTAGTCAACAGAGCCAAATATTAACAGTACAATGATTGAAATTTCTTTTGAGAGCCAATTTTTTTAAAAATATATTTTATTGATTTTTTACAGAGAGGAAGGGAGAGAGATAGAGAGTTAGAAACATCGATGAGAGAGAAACATCGATCAGGCCAAAGAGCCACATGTGGCTCGCGAGCCACAGTTTGCCGACCACAGCCCTGGGTGCCTCGGGTCGGAGGGACTTGAACAGAGTCCCCACCGCAGCAGCCATCACATTTGCTGCTTTTCAGTGGTGTCTGCATTTGTGCAACAGATAAGCCGCCTGACTCCTCTTTCTCTTTCCTACCTTCCGTAGGTCCAGGCCGCTCCTGTCAAAGCCCATTTTAGAATTACATTCAGAGGACACACTTCAAGGCGGCAAGTATCCTCCCCAGGGGTGCTCTATGGACCACATCGCCGTTGTTGCTTGATTCCCCCTTTCCTTCTTAAAGATGGTGTGTGTGTGCATATGCGTGCATGCGCATGTGTGTATGCATGTGTGTGTGTGTGTGCACCTGTGCACATGATGTCACACAGTGTCTACTTCTGATCCATGTACACTTCCTTCACAGTTACCAGGAAGGATTTTAAAACAGCTATTTGTGACTTATTAGATGTCCATAGACCTCTAATCTTAAATCTTTAAAAAATATTTAAATTAGTTGCCAATGTTTTGAAAATAGGAGGTTTTTAATGAAAACCTGCTTTCCTGCTTTCCTTGGAAAGAGCAGATCTGGCATCTGCGCCCTCACTCCTGCAGGGAAGTGCTTGAGACGGGTGAGTGGCGCTTCTGTCCCCCTCTGCTGTCTTCGGCCTGACGTGTCTCACCCACTGTCACCTCCTGGGCCCCAGCACTCAAGCATTCCCCTCCAGTTTTATTTTATTTTATCATTTTTTTGGTTAATCCTCGCCTAAGGATATTTTTTCCATTCGTTTTTAGAGAGAGTGTGAGGGAGGATGAAAGAGAGAGAGAGAGAGAGAAAGAGAGAGAAACTTGGATGTGAAAGAAACACATCAATTGGCTGCCTCCTGCCCGTGCCCTGACCAGAGCCGGGGATTGAACTATTTTCTGTCAAAGGTAATATCTTACAAATTGGCACAGCGCTTAGAGAGCAGCCTGCCGTCACTACCAGTGTGAAGCAGGCTTACTTGTTGCCCTCCTCACGTAAAACCTACTTTTCTAAATTGAAATCTTCGACATCAGCACTGTGTAATGCAGGGTGTACCTGTTAATTCGATACGTTTATATGTTGTAGAATGACTGCCAGTGTAGTGGTAATTAGTGCCTCTAGCATGCCACATAATTATCGTTTCCTTTTGGCAGTCGGAATAATGGAGATCCAGTTTCTTAGCAGCTTTGAGGACTAGGGTGCAGGGTCGCCAGTGGGCACGGTGTGCATTGGGTCTCTAGGACGTATTTGCTACTCGGTGCAGGTGTGTGCCCTGAGCACCAGCTCTGTCTGAGACCCTGTGGTGAGCATCCCTGTGTGTGTATCACAGCACAGGTTCCTCTGCACTTTAAAGAGGTCATGAGGCAGTGCTTCCTGACGCATGCGCGGGGCTGCTCATCGCAGTGCCCACGGCAGAGATCACCTGGGAATGCCACGTCTGCTTGGGAGGGATTGGCTCAGTCAGCTGTTTTATCCATTCAGCAGAACGCCATGAAAGCACTGTGAAGCAGGAAAAGCATTTTTCAAAACATATGGAGTGGCCCCATGGATTCTCTCTGTGTGTGTGTGTGTGTGTGTGTGTGTGTGGTGTGTGTGTAGAGAGAGAGAGAGAGAGGGAGAGAGAAGGAGGGAGAGTTTGTGTTGTGTCTGTGAGTTTAAGCGCATAGGAAAAAAAGCTGGAACGTTATACACCAAAACACTAATAGCTGTTTTGGGAAATGTAATAATCAGTTAGTTTTCACTCTCCTCTTACCTGATTTTTTAAAATAATGAGCATGTACTTTTATAATAGAGAAAAACAATAACTAATTTTGAGGAAGCCCTGTCCATTGGAATTAACAACCTCTTCTTCATTTATTTCTGTTGAAATGGTCTTCTCTTGTATTTGCAGATGGACACATGTTGGATTCGAAGAGATACGCCCTTATTGGAGCAGACCTTCGAGATTTAGCCACACTGGAAGAGAAACTAAAGAAATGTAACATGAACACACAGTGAGATTTTTTTTAACCTCTTACACGTGTGTGGTCTCATGCTAACGTGAGATAAGGCCAGTTGGCAGTGCAGTGGGCTACCCAGGCCCTGTTTCGTTGCATTGCTACCTTGAGCGATTTTCTGAACTTGTTAGAAGCACCGTTTCTCGAGTCTGTTTCACATCAGAATAACCCGTATTGCTTTTGTAAAATACTGATGTGTAACATAAACAAAGCTTGGTAGAAGGTAATTGTGTGCATAGAAGCACACAACTGCAACACACAAAGAAAGGATTAGCTTCCAGAATATATAAAAAACAGCTACTGTAAAAAAAAGTCCCGTAGACAAATGGGCAGAAAAAGACGACAAGACAGCTCAGAGAAGAAAGTAAAGAACATTGTAGGACAAGGGTAGGGAACCACAGTAGTAATCAGATGAAATTCCATGTTGCTTCCATCAAGTTGGCAAAAATGTAAAAGCCTGGCAGTATTAAGTGTTGGCAAGGTGACGGGGTAAAAGGAATGGGTCAGAGCACCCGTGGACGTGAGCTCGGTAGGACGAGGGGGAGGAAGGTCGGAGATACCTAGTGAGAGCGCACAGGTGTGCACCCTGTGCCACAGCAGCTCCACCTCCAGCTGTGTCCCCTGCATGTATGCACAGGTGGGTGTTCATTGCAGCCACCATTTTTATTTATTATTATTTTTTAATCCTCAACCCAGGATATTTTTGCCATTAATTTTTTTTTTAGAGTGGAAGAGAGGGGAGTGAGGGGGGGCAGAGAGAGAGAAACATCAATGTGAGAGAGACACATCGATTGATTGCCTCCAGTTCACACCCTGATGGGGCGGCCAGAGATCGAGCCTGCAACTGAGGTACTTGTCCTTGACCGGGAATCGAACCCACAACCCTTTGATCCGAGGGCTGGCACTCTAACCACTGAGCCAAAACGGCCAGGGCATAGGCAGCGTTTTTAGTAGCAGAAAACTGAACACAACTTAAATATCCATCAGGAGGGGAATGGATGAATAACCTATATCAGTGGTTGGCAAACTGCAGCTCACGAGCCACATGTGGCTCTTTGGCCCCTTGAGTGTGGCTCTTCCACAAAATACCACGTGTGGGTGATTGAAACTTTGTGGCCCATGTGCAGAAGTCGGTATTTTGTGGAAGAGCCACAAAAAAAAGAAACTGAAGGCAAAAATCAATGGCAAATGATGAAATAAAGTAGCAAGGAGGGGATCACTGCTGGAGAGGAAAGGGGCCGCAGAGCATGGCCCGAGGCTAACGTCCTTCAGGGGGAAGGAAGGGTCCCCGTTCTTCTGAGAGGGCAAAAGGAGTAAGAACAGGTGCACATACAGGTGGCCTGCGGCCACTGAGGGAGGGGAGTTAGGGAGTCAAAGCTTGGTCTTCCCAACACACCTTTCACTTATGTGGTGATGCTGTCGGGGCTGCGTCTGGAAGTTTTTGTTGGCCTATTTCACCTGGAATCGTCCGCCAGGCTGTCATTAGGAGGTGCAGAACCACCTGTCCTTTCTTCCCTCTGGGGAACGTTTATGTGCTGCACAGATTGCAAGATGTAGTGTGCTCCCTGGCAGAGGTGAGTGCTGAAGTTCAAGGACACGACTGGTTCCCCGGGCAGGTTAGTGAGTGAAGGTCGGCTGTGGGCGTGGAAGCCGGCCCGGGAAGCCCGCAGCCCGTCCACACCTGGACCGAGGACTCTCACGCTGGGTTCCATCTGACCGCTCCTGTTGGTGAATAGGAGTGGGGTTTGCTCTGTTTGCTTAAAAACCTCTTTGAGTCAGTGTTCCCTTTCTGAAATGAAGGCTTTTAGATATTTCCCTAGCAGTTTATTGCTTTTCCTAATTTGTTCAGTACTTGGGTCCGGTTAGTGAGAATGGATATTAAGTATACCGTACTTTCTTGGGGACTGATGTTGGATTACAGCTCCTCCTCTGCCAGGGGCTGTCCCCGGTGGACGCCGGGTATGAGCAGTCGTAGGCATATAGGAGAGACTTTATTGCAGACCAAGTAGCCATGCTTACAAGGATCCACCAGGCAAAACAGATCTGCAAAGTAGCCCCACCAAGCAGCCGCTCACCGGCTGGTCAGTGACAGTCTTTCTACCAACTCAGACAAAAGAGGCTTCTCGCCAAATAGTGACATCGGTCTTTGGGTCATAGGAAGGCACGCCTGCTCAGTGCGTACAGTAACTGCCGGGTCGTTGCCTTTGCACAGGCGTATGGCACATTATGTGCTGCACAGATTGCAAGATGTAGTGCGCTCCCTGGCAGAGGTGAGTGCTGAAGTTCAAGGACACGACTGGTTCCCCGGGCAGGTTAGTGAGTGAAGGTCGGCAGTGGGCGTGGAAGCCGGCCGGGAACAGCACAGGCGTATGGCACATCCGGCGTGTTCTGATTAGGGTTCCCACAACTGATCACGCTGTTTTCAATTCTTCATGGTGTAGCTTATATAAAAAACTAGATTCCGTTAAACGAATGCCAATATTTCTGCATCTATCAGCCAGCTCTTCATGTGTAACAGATCCTTCCAAACTCATAGGTTTCAAACAGCTCACTGTCTAGTTGCTCAGGATTCTGAGTTGACAGTTTGGGCTGGGCCTAGCTGGGTGGTTCTTCTGCCAGGAGGCCAGGCTTAGCTAATATCCTTTGGAGTCACGTGTGTGTGTGTGTGTGTGTGTGTGTGTGTGTGTGTGTGTATGTGCGCGCGCGTGCACACAGGCAGGTCGCTGGGGCTGACTCCCTGTCACTGGGCTGACTCATTCACCCAGGGGCCTCCCCTGCTATGGCCCGCGAGCTTGGGTTCACTCGTACAGTGGTTTTAGGTTGCCGAGTGCAGCAAGAGAGCAAGTGCCCGTGTGCAAGGGATTGTCAGGCTTCTTGTTTGCTCCTTGTTCATTGGCCGAAGCATGCTGCAGACTGACCCAGACTCCGGGGGAGGAAATACCCTCCTCTTCGTGGCGGAACCTGCAGTTTGGTATTGCTCCTGGGGGGCCAGGGCGGGGAGAGTCCGCACCCATTCAACTCATTTTCACAAGCCAGACACCACGCTCGCGGCTCACCTGTGTGCAGCATGTCTCAGACGTGGCGGTGCCACCTGGGCTGTGCAGAGTGGCCATGTGCTTGCAGAGTGCTGCTGGGGCCCTGGCTGTGACTGCCCTGCCAGAACTGCGGCACGTGCCCAGCCAGAGTGCCAGTCGGTGAACACGTGCCTGCTCTTTTCTCCCAAGGTTGCCGACACTCCTGGTGACCGAGTGTGTGCTGGTCTACATGACTCCGGAGCAGTCTGCAAACCTAATCAAGTGGGCAGCCAACAGTTTTGAGACCGCCATGTTCATCAGCTACGAACAGGTAAGAGGAAGCACGAGAAATCCGCGTCCTGCCCCGGAGCCAGGGTGGCTCTGCCTCGGAGCACCGCACCTGCTTCTGCTCTTTCTTTTCCTTCTGCCTCCGGCTAACGCAGTGATGGCAAACCTATGACAGGCGTGTCAGCGGTGACATGCGAACTCATTTTTTTTGGTTGATTTTTCTTTGTTAAATGGCATTTAAATATATAAAATAAATATCAAAAATATAAGTCTTTGTTTTACTATGGTGGCAAATATCAAAAAATTTCTATATGTGACACGGCACCAGAGTTAAGTTAGGGTTTTTCAAAATGCTGACACGCCGAGCTCAAAAGGTTTGCCATCACTGGGCTAACATCTCCTTTATTAGCCAGTGCTCTCAGGCCCGCTGCTCCGGAGCCCTTGACCTCCTGTAAACTTTTAGCCCGAGTTTTTGGAACTGCTGTATTGGCCCTTATGGAAGGTTCTGGAGTTCCTATTTGATCACTGTATTTACTGTCCTATCGAGTTGGAGCCCTGGATGGGGGGAGTTCTGGTTGCCTGCCCTGAAGGGGTGGCAAACTCATTGCCCTCAGAGGTGGGCACGGGGTGCAAGGGGAGGAAGTTGGCAGATGAGTGCTGTGGAGGGTGGGGCTAAGGGGCCAGCCGTCCTGCTCCCGCTCACGAGAGCGGCCTCCGCAGTGCCAGCCTGTGAGTCCCGTGAGCCTCCAGTTGCTTTTCCGAAGTTAGAAAGCAGGGTTGCCGGGGTTCGTGTCCCAGCATCAAGAAGGGCTCAGGAATCTGGAAAGGGGCTGTGCAGAGATGACACAGGAATCCAGAGACTAATAGAGTCCGGAGACGAAATATAATTTTGAAAGGCATTGGAGGTCAGAGGAGCTCAGCTAAAGGAGCTCAGTTCTAAGGTCTTAAGTCTAAGGCCTTAGGTTCTCCTCGTCCCCAGGGCCCCATGCTTTTTATTAACACAACTTGTCCTGAGGCGAGGCAGAGATATACACTTCAAAGGGTCGGGGTTTTGTACAGAGTCCATGGTCAGAATGAAAGAATTAGCCTACGCCTGTTCAGGTGTTTGGCCAGTAGGAGGCAATAACATGTAGATGAAGATGCCCTTTAACTGTCTGGCAGCCACAATCAGTTTCCTATTCAGATTTGGGGAAATGCCTTTAGCCATTCCCAACAGGTGACTACATGTGTGACTCAACTCTGTTGAGTCCCCAAGTCTCATCAACCTTTTGATGAAACTCTTGAAATTATGACATGCTGGAATTGGTGGCACAGGGTTTTTAAAAAATGTATTTGTATTGATTTCAGAGAGGAAGGGAGAGAGGAAGAGATAGAAACATCAATGATGAGAGAGAATCATTGATCGGCTGCCTCCTGCACACCCCCTACTGGGCATCGAGCCCACAACCTGGGTATGTGCCCAGACCAGGAATCAAATTGTGACCTCCTGGATCATAGATTGATGCTCAACCAGTGAGCCACGCCAGCTGGGCAGAAATGCAGGATTTTAACGTAACATTTTCTAATTTCTAAATTCACCGAGTCTGGCCCTCTGGCTGCAGGTTTGCTGACTGGGTTGTTCCAGAGCTTTGGGATTGTCCAGCTGGGGTCCAAAGCTGGCCCTGGGTCTTATCGGCTGTGAGACCTGAGGCAGAACTACGTGGGGTTGGGAATCCGTGCCCTGGAGGTAGACTGCGTAGCTGTGTGACCAGGACGCGGTACGTCACCTCTCGGTGCCCGTGTCCTCATCTGAAAACGAGGATGATAACATCCGACTTCATCGTGTTGTTGACAGCAGCCCCGGCTGTGAAGGCAGTGTTGGCGGGTAGTGGCCCGCTCTGAGCCCTGCTCTCTGTTCATAAAGGGAGAAGATGCCACCTCGGGCTGTGGGCGTTCATGAGATGCACATGGAAAGCACCAAAGCCATGCGTGCTGATGTTACTGTTTATTGTAGTTTTGTTAGTTGTATTGATTTTGTTTTCTATCATATTTTATTTTATATTTATGGCAGATGAGAGCAGTGCAGGCCTTGCCCACGGTCGCGTGATTATGGGCAGACCAGGGCTAGACCTGGGCTCCTCGTCCGCCCACCCAGTCCCGGCTCCTGTGTAGGTGGGTCCTGGTGGGTTGATTTCCTCCTCCCTCTGTGACTGGGGGCGGTCCTCAGGCTCAGTCTTCAGTCCTGGCGAGTGGGCGCAGTGCAGCTGTCCTCCTCGGTCTTCTCTCTTGTGCTGTGAATAATTCCGGGAGCCTGCTGCGTGCAGGATGCCACTCCTGGGGAAAATGAATCCACTCTCCCTGCTCCCCACATCTCGGCTGTCTGCTGCTTCGTTCACCTGGCTTCACTGGTGTGCTCCTCTATCCAACAGCGCCGAGGGGGCGGACGGGGGCGTTCAGCAAGTTTAGGCCGGAGACCCTGTCACTTTGGAGCAGGCCTGGGAATGGGCCAGTGCCCAATATGTTGTCCACACTGTCCCCAAACCGGTTCAGATCCCCCCACAACTTAACTCAGTAATTTTGTCACAAACACAAATCACGTGTATTCATGCTCACATGCCTCACATTAGTTCCTAACTAGTTTAAAATGACAAAACCCCGTGGACGGTGACAACTACAATAGTGATAATAATAGCGAATGCTATGCTGTGAGTTTCACACGTGTTAACCTATTTAATCACAGCAACCCACAGGGTAGGTCCTGTCCTCATGGTTTTACAGGTGAGGGGACTGAAGCACCAGGGTAGGCAGCTCGGTCAGAGTCTCCTGGCGGTCAGGTGTCGGGCCGGGACTCGCACTCGGGCAGCGCAGCGAGGGAGTGTGTGTGACAGATGCCCTCCCTCCCAATGAACAGTGTGCCATCCGATGCGTAGTGCCATGTAAGCCATACACACTCAGCAGGGGGAAAACCCTGGCCACCTGACCTGCTACAGTGAATCTTTGCCACTTTGTATATGACAACGTCACAGTGCATATATGCCATAATAGATGGTGTGCTGTGGCGTTTGTGCACATACAGAATTTAATTATTATTACTATTATTTTAAATATATTTTATTGATTTTTTACAGAGAGGAAGGGAGAGCGATAGAGAGCCAGAAACATCGATGAGAGAGAAACATCGATCAGCTGCCTCCTGCACACTCCCCACTGGGGATGTGCCCGCAACCAAGGTACATGCCCTTGACCGGAGTCGAACCCGGGACCCTTGAGTCGAAGGCCGACACTCTATCTACTGAGCCAAACCGGTTAGGGCTTTAATTATTTTTTTAACTTTTTAAAAAAATTAACTTCTTAACTTTTTAAGTGCCTGTAGTACAGTAGACAGTGTTGTGTGTGGTTTTTTTAATCCTCACCTGAGAATATTTTTCCATTTATTTTTAGAGAGTGGAAGAGGGAGGGAAAGACGGAAATATCAATGTGAGAGAAACACATCGATTGGTTGCCTCCCACATGTGCCCTGATTAGGGCCCGAGCCAGGGAGGAGCCTGCAATCGAGGTACATGCCCTTTGGTCCGCAGGCCGACGCTCTATCCACTGAGCCAAACCAGCTAGGCTTTAATTAGAGTGTTTCACACAAGTTTTTTTTTTTTATCCAAAAGTAACACTACATCCAGAATAGAAATATATCAAATAGTACAGAAGGGCAGACAAGGAATGTAAGTCTCTCCTACCCGCAACCTCAGCCCTCTCACCTGGGAAGCCACTTTGCCAGATTCCAGAATTTTTCTATGCATATGCAAATGTAGAGATTTTTTTTTTCTTAAAGGCAGATGGGAGAATACAGTAGACATTCCCCTGGACCAGTTGCTCTCAACCTTCTGGCCCTTTAAATACAGTTCCTCATGTTGTGACCCAACCATAAAATTATTTTCGTTGCTACTTCATAACTGTAATGTTGCTACTGTTATGAATAGTGATGTAAATATCTGATATGCAGGATGGTCTTAGGCGACCCCTGTGAAAGGGTCGTTCGACCATCAAAGGGGTCGCGACCCACAGGTTGAGAACCGCTGCCCTGGACCTTTTTTTTCAGGAGTTCTTAGAGCTTAGAGATCATCCCATAGTGGGTGTGTGTCTTTCCTGCTTTCCCGGCTCTGTGGTATTCCATCGTGTAGAACATGCAGAATTTACTGTGCCCGGGTGATGCGTTTAGCTCTTCGACTCCCCGGTCTGCAGCGCTGCAGCAGACGCCCTTTCACCTCCGTGCACATGGGCAGGTGCACCTGCAGGGGAAGCTGGGCCCGGGTGGGTTCTCACGGGGAGCGGGGTGGGGGAGGGAGGGTACAGCTGCCTCCAGGGGCCGCCGGTTAATGTCCCCATCAGCACTGCGCAGACTGTGTGGCCTGCACTGGGTACCCGCAGACCTCAGTCCTCACTGTGAGAAGTCGGGTGCTGTTGTATTTTGCGTGTGTGAGAGAACACCCTAACGGCGATGCCTGGCTGCTCTTCCTCCCCAGGTGAACATGGATGACCGGTTTGGGCAGATCATGATCGAAAACCTTCGGAGACGACAGTGTGACCTGGCGGGGGTGGAGCCCTGCAAGTCCTTAGAGTCCCAGGTCAGAGCACACCCTTGGCCGGCCTCGCAGGAGGAGCGCCCGGCTGCGGGCCAGGCTCGTGCAGCCACCGGTTCTCACGCTAGTGCAGTCCTACCCTGCTTCCCATGTTGGTATCAAATGCTTATTTCCTACACCCTATTATTTACCTTTTTATTATGCATTTTTCAAACAACGGAAAAGTAGAGGGAATAGTAAAACCAACAGCCATGTCCCATCAGCCACTTCAATAATTAATATTCTGTAAATACTGCTAATTCCCTCCAAACTTTTATTGGTGGTGGTATTGGACTGTTTTAAGGCAAATCCCAGATAGTATATCATTTCCCACGTAAATACTCAGTATAAATCTCCAATAGACCGATAGGAATGATGATCCCATGATTACAGCTTAGAAATTGGCAGTAACTCCTTCGTAGCATCTAACACCCAGTTCATGTTCAGTTTTCCGCAGTTATTTTTAAAATGTTCAGAGTTGGTGCATTTGAATCTTTTTTAATTTTTTTTTTTTTTTTTGCTGAAGAGATACCGCCCACTCTGCCCTCATTTAAATAGGTACTGCATGTTCCGTGTAGAACATGGGGAAATAAAAAGAAGGAAGACGGTAGGGGCCGGGATGGGCATGTAAGGAATTCTCAGTGCTTAGAGACGCCTGCATTCACGACTGTGCCTTGTGGCTCTCCATTCTCTCCGTTCTCCTTGCACGGCTCAGAGGGAGCGGTTCCTGTCGAACGGGTGGGAAACGGCGTCGGCCGTGAACATGATGGAATTGTACAGCAGGCTACCTCGGGCCGAAGTCAGCAGGTACGCCACCCCGTCCTGTCCTCTCACGTAGCCTCCCCATGAATCACGTTGCCCTCCTGATGCACACTAAACACTCCGCCCGACGGGATCGCAGCAGCTCTCAGCCGAGATAGGGTTTGCGCCCAAACAGGGGACCTTCATCCACCCGAAGCGGAGACACCTGCAGGGCTCCCAGGGCTGCCTCCGGGTGGACACTGGGCGATCCTCGTGGTGGGAGTGGGAGGAAAGGTCTCTCACAGGTTTTTAATGGGCTTTTCCTCTCATTGTAACAAACACGCGCTGGTTCTACGACAGTTTCCAAGCATGTAAACCAGCTGAGGTTTAAAGTCGCGCTTTCGGCACCACAACCCCTGAGGGCCATTCACAAGCGGGCGCCCCCTTTCTCTGCACCACGCCCCCTGAGGGCCATTCACAAGCGGGCGCCCCCTTTCTGCACCCCGCCCCTGAGGGCCATTCACAAGAGGGCGCCCCCTTTCGCACCACGCCCCTGAGGGCCATTCCCAAGCGGGCGCCCCCTTTCTGCACCCCGCCCCTGAGGGCCATTCACAAGAGGGCGCCCCCTTTCGCACCACGCCCCTGAGGGCCATTCCCAAGCGGGCGCCCCCTTTCTGCACCCCGCCCCTGAGGGCCATTCACAAGAGGGCGCCCCCTTTCGCACCACGCCCCTGAGGGCCATTCCCAAGCGGGCGCCCCCTTTCTGCACCCCGCCCCTGAGGGCCATTCACAAGAGGGCGCCCCCTTTCGCACCACGCCCCTGAGGGCCATTCCCAAGCGGGCGCCCCCTTTCTGCACCCCGCCCCTGAGGGCCATTCACAAGAGGGCGCCCCCTTTCGCACCACGCCCCTGAGGGCCATTCCCAAGCGGGCGCCCCCTTTCTGCACCCCGCCCCTGAGGGCCATTCACAAGAGGGCGCCCCCTTTCGCACCACGCCCCTGAGGGCCATTCCCAAGCGGGCGCCCCCTTTCTGCACCCCGCCCCTGAGGGCCATTCACAAGAGGGCGCCCCCTTTCGCACCACGCCCCTGAGGGCCATTCCCAAGCGGGCGCCCCCTTTCTGCACCCCGCCCCTGAGGGCCATTCACAAGAGGGCGCCCCCTTTCGCACCACGCCCCTGAGGGCCATTCCCAAGCGGGCGCCCCCTTTCTGCACCCCGCCCCTGAGGGCCATTCACAAGAGGGCGCCCCCTTTCGCACCACGCCCCTGAGGGCCATTCCCAAGCGGGCGCCCCCTTTCTGCACCCCGCCCCTGAGGGCCATTCACAAGAGGGCGCCCCCTTTCGCACCACGCCCCTGAGGGCCATTCCCAAGCGGGCGCCCCCTTTCTGCACCCCGCCCCTGAGGGCCATTCACAAGAGGGCGCCCCCTTTCGCACCACGCCCCTGAGGGCCATTCCCAAGCGGGCGCCCCCTTTCTGCACCCCGCCCCTGAGGGCCATTCACAAGAGGGCGCCCCCTTTCGCACCACGCCCCTGAGGGCCATTCCCAAGCGGGCGCCCCCTTTCTGCACCCCGCCCCTGAGGGCCATTCACAAGTGGGCGCCCCCTTCCTCTCACCCACGCCCCCTGAGGGCCATTCATAAGCGGGCGCCCCCTTCCTCTCACACACGCCCCCTGAGGGCCATTCACAAGAGGGCGCCCCCTTCCTCTCACACAGGCCCCTGAGGGCCATTCACAAGCGGGCGCCCCCTTCCTCTCACCCACGCCCCCTGAGGGCCATTCATAAGCGGGCGCCCCCTTCCTCTCACCCACGCCCCCTGAGGGCCATTCATAAGCGGGCGCCCCCTTCCTCTCACCCACGCCCCCTGAGGGCCATTCATAAGCGGGCGCCCCCTTCCTCTCACCCACGCCCCTGAGGGCCATTCACAGGCACTCTCCCTTACTCTCTCTCTCTAAAAAAAATGAATAAACATATATTTCCACAAACCCCTTCCTCTCACACAGGCCCCTGAGGGCCATTCACAAGCGGGCGCCCCCTTTCTCTCACCCACACCTTCTGAGGGTCGCTCACAAGCGGGCGCCCCCTTTCTCTGCACCTATAAAGAGAAGTGCTTACTGGCAGATTAGTGTTTTTTAATCGGTAGATTCACATTACGAGTGTGTCTATAAACCACCTTGCTTTCTAGCAAACCTAACAATAGGTTATATTTATCTTTACCTGTCACAGCAGCGCGGTCCCTGGGTGCATCGCTCCTGTGGTGTGTGGACGTGAGGGTGGGTGGTGGTGTCCTGTGTTTCGTTTTGTTTCAGTTCCCTGTTATAAAACCACTGCTGGCCCGGCCGGTGTGGCCCAGTGGGTTGAGCATTGCCCTGTGCACAGGAGGTCATGGTTCAGTTCCCGGTCAGGGCACATGCCCAGGTTTCGGGCTCGATCCCCAGTAGGGGGTGTGCAGAAGGCAGCCCATCAGTGTTTCTCTCTTTTCCTTTCCCTTCCCTCTCTAAAAAAACCCAACACAATAAAAACACCACTGCGGGGCATGTGGCCATGCTCACCTCTGGCCAGTGTGGGCGCCAGCTTGTTCGGTTTCTGTCATTATTCTGTACTTCCGCTCTGTGCTTCCTCCTGACTTTGGGGACTCACAGGTATAGGTGTTGGTCTCTTGCAAGATGCAGTGGGGCCTTGACTTTCGTTCTGAGACTGAGCTTGTTAAGGAGCTCGTTAACTCAAATTACTCTGTCAACTCAAAGCAAAAAATCTGCTGAGAAACAGCTGGTATCTCAAAAAACTCGTTAGTCGGGACACTGGTAAGTCAAGGCCCCGCTGTAATGAAAAAATACTTGGTCTTGCCTCTCCACAGCCCTTCTTAACTGTAGGAAGCATGACTTGTTTCCCAGTCTGTATGTCAGATCCTTGAAGTGCTGTCTCCACGTGATCCGGCTGATGCCTCCTGGGTTGTTCTAGTTTTCCGTCCCCACGGGCTGGTCTCCACTGGCTTCGTGTCAGGAGGACTGTTGTGAAGAGCCCTGGTCTGGCACCTGTGACGGCATGGGGCTCGCGGCTCTCCTGGGAGCCCGGGGAGGAGTCTCACCGCCTGGGCCACCGGGCAGCGGCTCCGGGGCAGCCCGTCTCATGTCGCCAAGGCCTTTGCAGACACGTGTCCCAACAGAGGGGGGTGAGGGGGGACAGCTCTGGTGTGTCTGCCCTGGGTACGGTCCTCCCCACTCTGAACGCCATGTAGTTGGTGTCCACATTCGCCAAGGGTTTTGGAGGACACTGCGCATGAAAAGCCCAAGGGAGGCCTGTTGACCGAGCCGGTGCTGCCTGCGCAGTGTGTGCTACGCCCTTTCTAAGCACCAGAGGAGTAACTGGCCCGAACCGGGCAGAGATGAGTCTGCGTGTGGCGTTTGCAGCCGAGCTTGGAGGTCACCTCCTCGGTAGGGTGCTGGTTTCTTCTGGAACTTGGTAATAGGACGCCTGCCTTGAATGTCTTCTGATTCGTTGGGAACATCAGTCAGGAAGCAACCGAAGTCCTTTATGGATAAACATTCTCACTTCAGATGTGACCCTTAGGCCTGAATAACGAGGCAGAAACACACACACACACGAACAGAAACGTGAAATGTGCACAAATGTGCACATCACACCCCCCTCCCCCACCCCCACACACAGCTTGGGCAAAAGGCAATGCCCAGTGCTGCTGTTGGCTGCTGTGAATAGTAGGAATATGGGTCGTGTTTTATTTTTTTCATACTTTTTGGAAATGCCTGAATTCCACCCCCCTGCTGTGTGCATATGGCAGAAAATATTAAACCCATTTCATATATTTGTGCATGTTTCAATGTGTGCATACCTTCAAAAAGTTTACATTTAAAATGCTGTTTTGAAAAAAATCATACAAACATGATTAAGAAAAAGAAACAAGCAAAAACAAAAGCCCTCACCCTACTCACTGCTCGCCACTACCTTCTGGCGGTGTTTTCTGTGGTTTCCAAGATGGTCTGCTCTGTGCATGTATGAGCACAGCGCCTCTGTGTAGAGGCAGTGAACCACCTTACTGCCTGAGCCGCCTGCTGTCTACAGGCCGTGCTGCGTCCCAGAGGCTGTCCTGCAGGCTGCAGGCGTCCGTGCATGCTGGACCCGCCAGCGTCTCTAGGTTGGGGTCTTTGCTGTCCCGGCGTGGCGGCTGGAAGCTTCGGTGAGGGCTCTGGGATGCGGGCCCGGAGCAGGTGCAGGGTAGGGCATCCCGCTGCGAGCTGACGGGTGCCGCTGTCCCGGCAGGACCGCGCCTCCCCAGTCCTCTCCAAGGCATGCTGGCCTTGTGATCCTCATCAGTCTGAGGGGTAGGAAGGTGTCAAGTATTTAAATCTACATTTCTTTTCTCAAAAGTGAAATTGAAAACCTCTTATTTTCCTTTTCTAGTGGACTTGTCTTTTAAAAATTAAAGTACAGTGGGGCCTTGACTTACAAGTGTCCTGACTAACGAGTTTTTCGAGATACGAGCCGTCTCTCGGCCGATTTTTTGCTTTGAGTTGCGAGCTCAAATTCAGGTTACGAGCCAGCTTCAGATACCCCACTGCTAGTTGGCGCAGCGAACGTCACAGTGAACGCCACAACATCAGCCCAGCATCACGTGTCTCACTTGTTCACTTTTTGATTTGACATATGAGTAATTTGAGTTATGAGCTCTGTCACGGAATGAATTTAACTCGTAAGTCAAGGCCCCACTGTATAGTTGACATATAGCATTATATAAATTTCAGATGACAACATAGCGATTCAACATGTATATACATGACTGTTTTCGCTATGCTGTGCATTACATTCTGTAACTTATTTATTTTAAACTTTTATTGATTTTATTTTATTCTTATTTTTGTTAATTCTTACCCGAGGATATTTTTTCCCATTGCTTTTTTAGAGAGAGTGGAAGGGAAGGAGGGATGGGGAGAGAGAGAGATAAACTTCGATGTGAAAGAGACACATTGATTGGTTGCCTCCTGCATGTGCCCTGACCGGGGGGCCAGGGATCAAACCTGTAATCCAAGTACATGCCCTTGACTAGGAATTGAACCTGTGACCCTTGGATGTTTTGGCTGACACTCTAACCACAGAGCAACATGGCCAGGACAAACTTTTATTGATATTTAGAGGAAAGGAGGGGAGGATGGAGAGAAGTCAAAGGAAAAAGAAGAAGAGGGAGAAACATCGAAGTGAGAGAGCAACATTAATCAGTTGCCTCCTGTGCCCACCAGGAGTTGAACCTGCAACCTGGGTATGTGCCCTGACCAGACTCGAACCCACCACCTTTTGGCGTACGGGACAAGGCTCCAACCATCTGAGCCACCAGCCAGGGCTGTAACCCATTTAAGTGGAAGTGTGTGCCTCTATCCCCTTCACCTTTTCATCCTTCCCCTACCCCATCCATCTTTTAAATGAACTTTTGAAGTTTTTCGTATTGAAGTACAACAGCTCTTTATGCAGCAAGGGAATCTACCTTGGTTATTTACGTTGCAAATATTTTTTCTAGGTTGTCTTTTGATTTTGCTTATGGTGCTTTTCCTTCTTTTTAATAAAAAGAAGTTACCGTGGAAGCGCTCTATAGGACATGGTCTGTGTCCTGAGCGCCTGGTCCTCGCTGTTAACCGTGCTCACCGTCTGTTCTGCGTTGACTCTGCAGGATCGAGGCCCTCGAGTTCCTGGACGAGTTGGAGCTCCTGGAGCAGCTCATGTGCCACTACTGCCTGTGCTGGGCCACCCGCGGGGGCAGCGAGCTAGGTACCGTCACTCTGTCCTTGCCCCAAAGTGGGGACCTTTTAATCTGCAAGGAAAGTACGACATCCAAGCTTTGAGTGCAGAGGGCACTAGCGCCCGTGCCTGTGCCCGTGACCGTCTCGGGATTGGCCATCATGTCCCGTGTCCCACACACAGAAGCGGGAGGGTGTCAGGGAGAGCCCGCACCAAACCAGCCAGCCACCCCGTGCAGGTGTGCGCAGGATCGCCTCAGGGAGGCGGGAGACCTTGCGTTTAAAGCAAAAGTGATCTTAATCAAAGTGACCATGGTCTGTCCTTTCATCAGCTTATAGCCAGGTCTCCTGGGTGGTAAACACGGACCGGTGTCTCTCACCCACTGCAGGCGACGCTGCCCTGCCGGCCGAGCAGGGCTCCCCTGGTGCCCCCGGCACCGAGGCCTTGGTCCAGTTTCTCCTCACAGCTTCCCATGTGCCCCTGCTTCATCGGGGTGACCCTCAGGCATCTGCAGCCTGTGGAGAGTGCTTTAGATCCCAGCTCAGGCCTTGAACGTGGTAACCGCCCCGCAGGCTTCCTACAGATGTGTCCCAGGGAGGGGCAGCTGTAGTCAGGCAGCTGATGCAGTGGGAGAACATGACCAAGGCCGGCTCTGACCCCGTGAGAAACTGCAGGCTGGCACGAGGCGGTTAATCATTGCCCTGGGCCTGTCTCCCCACTGCTTTATAAATTTACTCAGCTGTGCAGCTCAGCCCACAATGCCTTTTTCTATTTGTTTTTTTATTTAAAACTAGAGGCCTGGTACATGACATTTGTGCACTTGAGGTGGGGGGGTCCCTTCAGCCCAGCCTGTGCCCTCTCGCAGTCTGGGACCCCTCAGGGGATGTCCGTCTGCCGGCCCAGGGGGAGCGGGCCTAGGCCAGCAGTTGGACATCCCTTGAGGGGTCCTTAGCATTGCCTCAGAGGCAGAAGAGGCTCCCGCCACTGCCACTGCACTCGCCAGCCGTGAGCCTGGCTTCTGGCTGAGTGGTGCTCCCCTTGTGGGAGCACACTGACCACCAGGGGGCAGCTCCTGCATTAAGCGTCTGTCTCCTTGTGGTCAGTGCGCATCATGGTGACCGGTCGTTCCGCTGTTTGGTCCATTTCATATCAGCCTTTTATTATATAGGATCACTTAGTGAGGTTTTTATATTGGCATTCCCCTCCCAATTTTAAATGCAGTGTAATTTTTAGTAGAGCCTTTGACAGCTGATACGTATGATGAAGGAAATTACCATGTGGGTGCCCACTGAGCACCTCGAGTGATGTTTCTCCTCTGCTTTTTCAGCTCTTGTGCTGCTGGCAGAGTGGAATTTGCAGGCTGTGTAGCTTTGATTGCTGATCTTTTCACCTCAGTATGACAACACGAGCATTCCCCTTGCTATTACACACTCAGTGTAACTGTACGGCCTCAGGAAATCCTGTCACGGGGCTCTGTCCGAGTTTACTTAACTTTCCCAACTTTGGAAATGCCGGTTGTGTGTGGCACTTCCGTGGACTTTAGATTTTAGCGTGACTGTGGTGAACATTGTTATGACGGGGCTTCCCTTGTCCCCACCTCGCCCGGCTGCCATGATGCTGTATGTGTGTGTGTGTGTGTGTGTGTGTGTGTGTGTGTGTGTGTGGTGAAGAGCTGTGTCTGCATTTGCTAATGAGGCATGCAGCCCGCCGGCCAAAGTTTGACATGCTTGCACGGTTATGGGGCTTTCCTAGCCCTTTAAACTGTCCACGAGCACAGCCCGTGTGGGTGCGTGTCCCTGTGCCAGCCGTCTGAGGGAGCGGGACGGAGCTGCAGTGTCAGTGGCCTGTGTGGGGCGTCCTGGGGCGGGGCCAGGTCACTCCCACCTCCGAGTCTTCTCTCCTGCGGGAGCCTTTGCATCTCTGTTTCCCTCAGGCCTGACGGAGATCACTTGCTAACCTGGTCAACGCAGAAGCTGCAGCCGCCGACCTTCCCGGAGCTGACATGCGGGGCCCAGAGTGCTGGCCAGGCCCCGTCTCCGTGCATCCCACCCTCCAGACATCGCTTCCTGGGCTGCCGCTGCACTTCCTGCTCCGGTCGGCCTATCTGTTAATAAACCTCAGCTGCCAATGCCTGTGTGCTGGTCCTTCGCTCCCCTGGGCGGGCTGTGTCCCCGCGTGAGCTGAACCCCGGCGTCCTGCGTCTGACCCGGGCCTGGCCGACTGCCTGGGTCAGACATAGCTCGTGCCCTCCATCCTCGGGATTTGCTCCATGTGCATGTGCTTGCAGCAGCCAACATGGCACCTTGTATCTTGACCGTGGGCTACCGGGTCCCGGGCTCCCCTCGGCTCCTGCGTCTGCCCCACCAGACTAGCCTGTGGTCCTCCCCTCCCCACTTGTTATCATGGAGGCTGAGCGAGGGCCCCTATAATGTCCTCCTGATCCCATCCCTCTGTCCGTTACCTTATTTGCAGGTGTGACTAAGGATGTGGAGGAGACAGGTTACCAGGAGTTGGGGGTGGGCCCAACATAACGCTGGGGTCCTTAGAGGGGGTGGCGGGAAGTCAGAGTCAGAGGGGCGTGGTGCCCACGCAGGGCCTGTAGCGCCACCTTGGTGCAAAAGCGAGGACTATAGGTGGTCACTCGCTGCTTAAAGAGCACAAGGCGCCCCTCAGCACCCCCAGAAGTAGCCAGCTTGGCCAGCACCCCGACTGGAGCCCAGGGAAACTGATTTCAGACTTCCGACTGGCAGAGCTTGTCTGAAGCCACCAGGTAAGTGTCATTTGTCCCAGCAGCCATGGCAAACAGGGGCCACAGAGTGCTTGTCCCACAACCCAGACACGAGGTCTGTCCCCCGACGAAGCTGAGCCTGTGCGCAGAGTGCAGCCCCTGCTCTCCCGGCAAGAAGATAGCGCTGCGTCCGCCATCTGAGTCTCAGTCGCGTCCCTGGAGCGAGGACTGCAGATGGCACTGCTCTGCCCCACACTGCGCACGGGGCCTTGCGCTGCGAGGCGGGCCTGACCCCATCACCCAGTGAGGGGCGTCGCCTTTCAGCCACCTTTCAGGTCTTCAGTTCCAGGAGAAGGTGCAGGCTGGCACTGGTGGCTCTGTAACACAGCCCATCGTTTTGCTTTTCGTGGTTACCCACGGTCAACTGTGGTCCAAAACGATTAAATGGGAAATCCCAGAAATGACTCATCAGTTTTAAATGGCATGATGTTCTGAGTAGGGTGATGAAACTTCACCATCCTGGCCCGTGGGATGGGAACCCTCCCTTTGTCCCAGACGCCATGTGATAGACACTCCCCGCCCTTAGTCCTCAGGCAGCTGGGGTGTCGAAGGGGCTGCCCAGGTCTGGCAGGGCTGGGGTGCCAGCCACCCTCATTTTATTAGTAATGCCACATGCTCCTGACTGCCGTTACTGCGTGTTGTAATTGTTCCATTTTGTTATTGCTAATCTCTCACTGTGCCTAACTTATACATTAAGATTTATCATTGGTATGTGTGTATAGGAAAAAACAGCACATGCAGGGTTCGGTACTATGCAGTTCAGGCATCCACGGGGTCTCTGAGAGCATCCCCGCAGGTAAGGGGGTGACTGTATAAGTCTGGAGAGCTTGTCTGAGTTGAGTACAAGAATAGAGTTTAGAAAGTCTAGAAGCAACGGGAGGCCTGCAGAGTTCACACCCAAACGTTCCTGGAAGCTGTGCATTTACAGAAGGTCCCACAGTGGGGCGGTCCGAACCTTTGGTGAAGACGTGGAGGCCAGATTTACCTCAAAATGTTAGGAGCTCACAGCCCTTAAATGCTTTAAGGTGGTGGGTGAGGCTGAGGTCTTCACAGGCAATGAGACCACCAGCACCAGAGGCTGAGCGTTGCAAGGCAGCTGCTCAGATACAAAACGGACCCTCTACACCTCCGTGTCTGTAACAGCCAACCCCCCAGCTGACCACGGCCAGCCAGGCAAGCGCAGACGGACGCCTGGCCCACCCGCAGAATCGTGAGTGAACGGGATGGAATGGTGGTGGTTTTACCACTGCGTTTGGGGAGTTTGTTACTCCTCAGTGAGGAACCGCTGCAGGTGAGGGTGCGGGTCGGGGAAGAAGGCAGATCACTGGCGGGTTGGTCCCTCATTAATGCGTACTCTGTGCCACGCCGTGTGCTGGTGTGGAGTTAACCATGGACACGCAGACGTGGTCTCTGCTCACAGAGTACTGTCCAGCGGCAGCCGGCTCAGTGTCCTGTGGCCGGTGCGGGAGGGAGCCCTGGGAGGTGCTGGGAGAGAGATGTGAGGCTGAGGGTGTGCAGGCGGGGGCACCGGGGTGGAAATGGAAGAGAGATTTCTGACTGTACGAGTGTGTGTGTGTGTGTGTGGTGGTGGTGGTGGTGGAGGGAGTGGCTCCGCTGGCCAGAGCGCTTGCTTCAGTGGGCACACATGTCCTCTGTGGGCAGAAGGTGTGGCCGTGCAGCCCTGCCCCTGGAGTGTGGGTCTCTGCCCCGTGCAGGGGTCCCCAACCCAGGGCAACAGAGAGGGGGAGGGGGCCCGTGTAGCACTGGGTGGTAGGAATTGTGGGGATTCAGTCCTCTGGGGAGGCTGAGACCACACCATCCCAGGCAAAGGGCCACTGCTTTGTGACAGCGCCAGCCTGGGAAGCTCAGCCCGGTCTGCGGGAGGGGCCCCATGGCAGAACGCGAGGCCGGTGGAGGGTCTCGCCAGTGCACCCAGAAGTGAATCTGAGGGACCCTTTATTCTCTGGAAGAATGTATGATGGAGAGCAGGGCAGGGGCTGGACAGTGTGGCCCAGCAAAGGGGATGGGTCCTGCCCACTTGAGCACACGGGAGGCACCCCTACCCCCACCTGTGCGAGGCTGGTGCTGCCTCATCCTGCTGCGACCTGAGGCCAGAGGAAGGGGCTCTGGGGTGGAAATCTGTGCGCCTGTGGCTGAGTCTGGTGATGCGGGGACCTCAGGTATTTGGTCTGGTTGGAACCTGGGTGGAGGGCAGGCCCAGTGGGGGCCAGCCACGCTGAAAGATTGAAGTGCAAAGTGGAGCTGACTTTAAAAGTTCTTTTAATCCCTTCTAGCTTGGGGTGGCAACAAGGGGTTGCCAGTAACCTGGGCAGAGCTGAGGCATGGGAAGAAGAGGAAGTGCCCACCTCCCTCCTATAAGCCATGGGAACCACCCACAACGCGAATCTGTTGAAACCACCCAAGCCAGGTCCAAGACATCACCTAGAGTCCATTTCCATGGGGAAGGGAGAGCAGCTCCCAAGAGGGACATTCAAGGTGTGAGACCCTCTGGGCTATGGAGGCCCCGCCCACCGAACTACTTGGGGCTCTGCCCTGCAGAGCTTCAGTCAGATAGCCCAGGGCCAGACAGGGAGAGTGACTCGCATTGACCTACACCACACAATCTCTCAGGAGACCCAGAACTGACACCAACAGGCCAGATTCAACAACATGGGAGCAAAATCCAGCAAACTCCACGAATAGCAGCTCCAAAGCATTTTTTTCCTTCTCTTTTTTCTCTCTTTATTTTAATTTTCTTTTTCTGTTTTTCTTTTCCTAGTCTACATTTTATTTTATTTTTTATTATTCATTATTTTCACAATGGTTATTCTTTCACTTTTTATTCTTATTCTTTTTCACATTCTCTTTTTTTGGTTATTTTTAAAAAATATAATCTAATTCTTTTGGTTTGGTGCTTTTTTTTTAGAGATTATATTCTTTTTAAAAATATATATATTATATTGATTTTCTACAGGGAGGAAGGGAGAGGGATAGAGAGCCAGAAACATCAATGAGAGAGAAACATCAATCGGCTGCCTCCTGCATACCCCCCACTGGGACTATGCCCATAACCAAGGTACATGCCCTTGACCGGAATCAAACCCGGGACCCTTCGGTCCCCAGGCCGATGCTCTATCCACTGAGCCAAACCGGTCAGGGTGGTTTGGTGCTTTTTTGTTGTTCTCATGTTGTTTTCAGTTTGGTCTTGTTTTGTTCTGTCAGCACCTATATAACAGTTGGCACAATGTGGTCAGGGTTGAGCCTCACAGTCAGCAAGCCTGAGAGCTGAGCCCACCCATGAACAGGAGGACAACAGCAATCCAAATACAACAGGAGGGGTCACATAAGCCACACAAGCAGCATTCCTAGTGCACACAGCTCAGAAGATCAAGGAGATTGCACTACTAGATCCCACAAGAAGGCCAACCCACCAAGTCTGGGAGGCATAGCAGTCTTATCCAATATACAGAAACAAACACAAAGAAGCAGTAAAAATGGGGGGGGGGGAAACAGGCCCCAAATGAAAGAACAGGAGGAATCTCTAGAAAAAACACACACAAAGGGAAATGGAGGAAAGCAATTTATCAGAAACTGTATAAAGTAATGGTTTTTAGAATGCTCGTGAAAAAGGACACAGGAACAGTGAACAAAAACCAGTCAGAAATGAAGACTGACAGCTGAAATGAAAAATACACTGGAAGGAATTAATAGTTGGTTAGAAAAAGCAGAGGATTGGATCAGAAAATTAGAAGGTAAGGGAGAAAAAAAGTCAATCAGAGTAACAAAAAGAAGAAAGAATTAAAAAAAGCATGAGGACAGTTTAAGGGAACTTTGGGATATCATGAAACATAAAAACATCTGCATCATAGAGGTACTCCAAGGGGAAGAAAGTGAGCAAGGACTAGAGAACATGTTTGAAGAAATAATGGCAGAAAACTTCCCTAAACCAGCAAAAGAAAAAATCACACAGGTTCAGGAAGCACAGAGAGTCCCAATTAAGATGAACACAAAGAGATCCATACTAAGACACATCATAATTAAAATGGCAAATATTAGAGACAAAGAGAATCTTAAGGGCAGCGAGAGAGAGGCAGGCAGTCAGTTACCTAAAAGGAAACTTCCATAAGGCTGTCAGTTGATTTATCAACAGAAACTCTACAGGTCAGAAGGGAATGGCATGACATTTTCAAAGTAATGAAAACTGAGGCCTAAAACCAAGACTGCTCCATCCAGCAAGGCTATCATTCAAAT